GGCTTGAAGAGCCATAACCATGGAACGACGCCATGTGTGAAAATTTGGACCAGAAAGAGGGTGGGCAACAAGGACAAGGCCTGGATGGTCAGCACTATGAAGAAAGTAAGGACTAGAGGAATCATCATAGGGTGAGTCAGATCCTCCGGCAACGTTTTTTCCTCGCGCCATGGAAAAAGGGGCGGAAGACTTAAACTACTGATACCATATTAGAGGAGAAAGAAAGCTGAATATATTTTCATATTCCTTGATGGATTCAAAGGTGTACAGTACATAGCAATTTATACAGAAGAAAAGAATGCTTCTAGAACCTATTCTGTTCTAACTAACTTGCGTATTCTTAGGAAAGAAATAAAATGAATAAAAGGAATAAAAATCTAAACTGATAACAAAAACTATAACAGAATGATAAAACAGTAAATTACAAAACTATCCCACTCTTAATATAAACCAATGTTCTGACTATAGTTCTTTCCGGAGCTACACGTTAACTAAACCAATCCATGATTTTTCAGTTATCTAAAATGTTTACCCAATTCAAAATCATTCTTATTTCGGAAAAAATTTAGTATAACTCCATTTAGTGCATACCAGCAGGTATGCAAAAAGTTATATAATGGGAATGATCACAGTCTATCAATAAAACCATGTATAACTCCTCAAATCTGAGACTTCCCTACAATAAATTCTTTTCTTAAAGTTACTAAAACCATTACTTTAAGAAAGCACAACAAATATAAAGGTTGCTGGAAATTATTTTACTTGATATACAAGCAAATCTGTCCATGAACAATCCAATAGGTTTCATAAAACAAGAACTAGCCAGAAACCTCAAGCCATCACAAAGAACATCCGTAATTACTATTAGATATTAGGTATAAAGGTAGTTTAGTATTTCAATGATATTCTAAATCTTTCTCTTTTCTGGTATGCTCTTCTATATAAGAGCTCACATATTGTACAAATTAATGACTACCAATCAATGAAATTAATATTTTTCCTTTTCTCTCTTTTACCTTCAAATATGGTATCAGAGCATTTTTATCCTCCATGAATGGAGATTCCGCTGCAATCACTATTTTTTTTTCCTTTCTTCCGGATCTAATCCCGATCTGTGAATTTATTTTTATCATCAGAGCTACTCTTTCTCCTTTATCTTTCTATGTCCATTTTTCTTTTGCAGTTTCTGGGTCGTCTTCTTCACTGGCTTTCCGATCTGTGTCTCTTTCCAGATCGGTTGAGTTTTCCGATCATGTGTCTTTCGTCCAGCTCATCTTTCGTCCATATAGAATATTTTCCGATCATCTTTTCCGGTGACCTTTCCAGATCTGTCAAGTTTTCGTCCAGATTTGTGTCTCTGTTGGTTCCGAGCATTTTTTTTCTTCCGGATCTGAGTTTTTCTCATCCCAATTTTTTTTTTTTTTTTTTTTTTTTTGCGTTTCTGGGTCGTCTTCTTCGTTTGCTTTATAGCCAGTTCCTCTTCTTCTCCGGCTAGAATCGTCTCCTCGCCACCATTTTTTTTCCTCTGGCTCTTTCATCCTCCTTTCTCCACTTGCTTTCTTTGATTTATTTTTGTTTTCCACTGTTTTCTGATTATGTCCTTCTCTATTTTTTTTCCACGTCAATTTTTTTTTCTCCCTTATCTTTTGGTATTTGATATGTCCTTCTCTGTTTTCCACGCCAATTTCTTCCACCTTTGTCAATATGGGTCTCTGTTATATTTTTATTTTCAGATCTATCTACTTGTTCTCTTTCACTTCTCATTTTGCAGGTCCACGAAGATTCATGAGCTCATGGATTTAACTGCAATGCATCATTATAATTTTTATTTTTTTGGTTTTTTGATTTTTCTGATGTATTGTTTCTGGCTTGTATTTGGCCACTTCGGTTTTATTCCTACATATGTCTGTGGTGTTATTCATGTTTGCCGATGTTCATTTCAGAATGTTTGATTTACGTTTGATTTTGCCGATGTCCTTCCCGGCACCGTTTAGTATTTTGTGGCTGACGTCCATCCCAGCCCTCCCTTCCTTAGCTGATGTCCATACCAGCACAGTTGATTTCACTGAAGCTCATTCCAGCACACTGGAGATTTTGGTTTCTATTTTTTTGTTGCTATTATGTTTTCTTGATTTTTCTTGTTCAAGATGGCAGTTCTCTTTGTTCACTCTCCATCTTGAGGGGGAGTATTAGATATTAGGTATAAGGGTAGTTTAGTATTTTAATGATATTCTAGATCTTTCTCTTTTCTGTTATACTCTTCTATATAATAGCTCACATATTGTACAAATTAATGACTACCAATCAACGAAATTAATATTTTTCCTTTTCTCTCCTTTACCTTCTAATTAATTACCAAAACACCAAAACAATAACATCAACACAAACACGTGGTATGCAATTAAAGCCAACTTCAAGAAATCAAAGCTTTACTTCAAGATAAGAGCAGAAATTTAGAGCAACCTTGCTCAGTTTCACAGCCAATCTAAGTTACACAAATTTAGGATTCAGCCTTCCAAATTCATAGTTTTATCAAAGAGTGAAACCTCAAGATAAACGAAGCAACAAAGATTTGGTGGTTCTGTCAACATCTCCATTTTTACAAAAAAAAGAAAGTGTTTAAAAGAAGAATTGAAAATGCAATAAGAGAGTACAAATCAATGTGATTAGTGCATAAAAATAAAGATGTTATACTAACCAGAAAAATAGGTCTAAGAGGAAATGAGTGAAAGCTAAGTAGTGAGTGAAAAGAGTTAGAAGTGAAGTATCCTAACATTTAAAGGGACTTGAGAATTTAAGAAAAGTTAATATAGTTGGATAATTTTTACAAATTTTTGGTGTTACTGTTGCACCAAAGATTCAGTGCATCCCGTCAATTGAAATATTACATGTCAACCAAGATTTTCTTTTTCTGTCAAATTCTTTCTCTCTTCTCTGATGTGTAATACTTCTATTGATGAGATGCACTGAATCTAAGTGCAACAGATGCACCTAAAATTTATTCTTTTACCGGAGCTTGTTAATTTTGTTCCATTAACTTGAACATTAAACTAGTTCCAAAGGTAATTAAGAAGTGCTAAATTAGTGAGTATTATGCTTAACTTAAAAAATTAGGCGGAAAGTGCAGCTAAAGCTGCAATGTGCATTTGATCCTTAAAATTATATATTAAATAGCTTTAATTTGTCCATTAAAAAACGGAAAATGTACTTCTGCAAAAAAAAATTTGTAGTAACCAATTATAACTATGTATTAATACATAGTTATAATCAAATTCTTTTTTCTCTCTTCATGTCAACAGACAACTTTTGAAAAGAGAGAACCATTTTTTTTTTTAAGATTATAACTATGTATTTTCGGGAATACATAATTATAATCTTTTTTGCAGCAACATAAGAAAAAAGTGACCTTAAAAAAATATCTTTGATTTTGAAGAAAATTACTACTTTTAAGTAAGAGATTCTTAAACCATTAAGGTTGGTCTAGTAGTGAGGAGTTTAAAAAATTTGTATTAGGTTATACGTTCAATTTTCACCAATGTATTCAAAAATAAATAAAAAAAACTAAAAGATTCTTCTATTGAACTATCAAAGCGCATTTGGGCTCTTAAATTATTTACCAACAACAAATATGTAGCGATCAAAGGGGTTTAGTTCAAGTAATACATGCTTGATTTCGCTTAAGAGGGATATTTGGTTCAAATTCATATGAATGCAACAAAATTTCTTTGGTTATTACAAAAAAAGCCTCACCATGATATGAGTGTTCCCTGCTCGAACATAAGTGCTTATGTAGTTTATCAATAAAAAAACCCAACATATATGTGGCTGTACTCAATTTTTGTCTAAATTTATGGTGTATTTATTTTGTTTTATAAGTAATATAAATATGATATATCAACTTATTTATACTCATATCATCTAAATGCTCGTGCGCTTTGCAGCAATACCCGTGATTGCATTATTTTTCATTAAAATAGTTAAAATTTCATTGCTCAACTAATGCTCTTTCTTATATTATTCAGTAAATATATCAAAATTAATATTTTTTTTTAAATGATGAATATTTTGAAAGGGATTGCATAATTACTTTTTCCACAATTTCAAGCTTCTTCTTGATGGGTTTGGTAACGCAGAGCGTGAATCGAAGTTCATATGAAGTGATTGGTAAACAATGACAAAGGTGTTCTCCATTTTAATGATTAGTCCGGAAGTAATAGGACCATGTACCACAAAGCAAACTTTAATGTCCAATTTAGGCTTAAACCCATTATTATTAGGGTAAGGTTATATTTATAAATTTTTTTATTTATAAATTCTTACAAACTACACTAAGTATGACCAGTCGTACTTAAATCAAAAGTGTATAACTAATCATACTTAATGTAATTTGTAAAAAAAAAAATTCTAAATGGATGATTTCTCTTATTATTATTATTATTATGGGTTTTATAAGAGTTATGTTGTAGGAAAAGTGATTGTGTTATGTTATAGAGATTCGTTTTGCGTGCCACAGTTTTTTTTTTTTTTTGGTTTCAAAAATTGCGGGTCCCACAAAATATTGTGAGTGTAGGAAAGTTGTTGTGGTCATGTTAAATGATAGATGCAAAACCCTATTATTATTTACCCAATATAAAGTTTATGATGATGACAGTACATAATAAGGGGCTAAAGATCACTAGATAAAAGGGCATTGTCATCGTAGGCCCATCTAAGGGGCCACAACCCACTAGCAGTCAAACTAGGACAATGGTTTTGGGTATGCCACACCTCAAATTCACAGCCTCAGCTACTGTGGACTGTGGATGAACCCTCACCTTGCCATAATATTTTCTCCATATTGTGCAAAATTTTATGTACCAAAAAAATTAGAAATAATCAAGATAAGACACTTGTGGAGAGCTCGTGCTACTTAGTTCACATGTCACCATGCAAAACCAATCCAACGGCTCACATTCACTTCAGAGAAGCAGCCACAAGAGATATATTATAATCATTGGCACTTGTCCTCCATTCTCCTCTATTCAAATCCAACCAAAATTTCTAGGCTCTATCAATTCTAGTTTCTTGTGGATTGGCTTCAAAAGCTAGTAGGATGGCTTCAGTGATCATGTCATTTGCTCCAGCAACCGGAAGAGTCTTTGCAGCTACAGCTGCAAAGGAAGCAGGTGGTAGCAAGGAGGAGAAAGGATTACTGGATTGGATTCTAGGAGGCATGCAGAAGGAAGATCAGCTACTAGAGACTGATCCTATACTCAAGAAGGTTGAGGAGAAGAGTGGAGGCACCACCTATGGAAAAAAGAACTCTGTGGTAGTGCCACAAAAGAAGAAGGGTGGTGGTTTTGGGGGCTTGTTTGCCAAGAATTGAAGCATTTTTTATGCAAGTACCTAATTCTAATGCATGCATTATATTCCTGTCCTTTTAGCTTTTAATATGTATTGATCATTATGTAGTCTTAAAGTTTGTGTTTGCTCTTCTGGTTCATTGAAATTTATAGAACAAGTTGATTCATTTTGGGTGAGTTACCACTTATCATCCAGTTACAATCTGTTTGACAATTTAAACGCTCTTGCTTTGTTTGGCCAATTTGGCCCTGATTTTTTAAGTCTCGGAAATTCATTGTAAATGAACCTTATTAAGTCATGCAATTAGCTTTAAGACCCAGTTAATGTTGTTGGTCTAAGTGGAGATTATTATAGCCTATTCTGTTTGTTGATGATCTCATAAAGTTAATTCTCAAAACCCCAATTCATTTATGGAAAAGTTCCAAAAGTTAGATGGAATTGAACCAAGTCCGAAATTATGATCAACTAGACGAGATCCAATGTCTTCAAAACGGGGCAAGTTTCAACTAGGCTTGGTATTTGAAGCAAAGAGCCTTCTGCTTTGAGATTTCACTCTAACCGCTGGATTCAGATGACATTAGCACCATCATCTGTTGCAAAATGGTCAAAATAAAACCATTCAAATTTGATACTTGTTCAGAGCCCTCAAAGATTAAAATAATGCAATCATTCAATATGCTAAGGAATAAGGATACGAACTCACTGTTATCAGTACATGTAATGCAGAGGCAGAGATTTTTTAATGCTTATAAATATTTGATAGTCCGAGGAGAATGAGCATGCAAATTAAATTCCAATAGATCCATAGAGGAAAGAAGATGTGAATGTAAGAGAGCTATAGGATAAGGATTTCATATAATCATCACATATTCTTTTAACCCTTTGCATCACAAAATCATGTAATTATTTGTTAATTCAGCATATGCAGTTTTAAAATAAAATCCTACCAATCATTGCTCATAATATTTCTAATGAGAAACACATTATTGGAATTGATTGAACATATAATGGAATTGGTTAAACTTAAAATCCTAACACGTCAACTAATCTATGATTAAAAAGAATAGAAAAGAAAAGAAGAAGAAGGCAAGAGCCGATGCCTGTTCATTGAAAATCAAACTTAATATATTAGCTGATATGAAATGCACATTGTTAGGAATCCATCAGAAGATTATACACTGATTCTGTTTGTACAGATACATAAAAAGATGGCTTATTACACGAAGTTCCCATCATTGTGAGTTGTGAGAAGAGATGAGATATACACTAAAACATAGTAGCAAGCACACCTTAGAAGTTCAAGTTATTAAGTGTCTCAAGGAGCATGTGTAGAATCTTTGCGGGATGTTGTGGCTGAGGAATTCGATCTAGAAAAGGAAGAGTGGATGAACTCAATGCAGTCCTCAACAGCAGCTGTCCTATGAGAATCAACTGAAGACCCTGCTGATTCTGATCTTCCCAAGGAAGATGAGTTTCGGTGTAAAGATCTCCTTATAGAGACCAAGCGTAGAGCATTTGTCACTCTTTCCGCAAGTTCCTTGACAAGTTCAATGGGAGAGAACTCAGACTGCCAAGGAAGCCTGAACATGCAGGTCCTCACATGCCGATTTCTAGATGATTTCCTATTAGAATTCTGTCTCCAGGACAAGCTTGTTTTCTCATTGAAGTAGCCCATGTGACTCATTGTGTTGCTTAATTTTGTATAGTATTATTATATACAGGAGAGAGAGAGAGAGAGGAGCCTGTATATGTGATGCTTTTGAAAGTTAAAAGGAATTGTAGACGAGACTCAGAAGCAGAGTTGTTGGGGAGGTAGGAACTATGGAATGAGGAGGGTGTTGTGAGCTTGAGTGAGATACATGCATTTATAGGAGTATTTCACTATGTCTTATATGAGTATGTTTATCATGAAAGAGCTGTGTAAAAGTACAAAGGAAAGTTCATCAAAAGAAATAAGTATAGAGTGACAAAAAGGTGGATTCAGGAGGTGAGAAAAGAGGCATATTTGAGGAGTAAAGGTAGCAGATACACTTGACCTCTTTATTACTTTGTATTTCAGATGCACTGCGGCACTGTGACTTTGCAGGGCACACTTTTATGCTTTCCATGTAATGGAGAAGGGGAATCTAAGTTTGAGTAAAACTAAAGATAGCAGGAATATTTTTAGTTTAAAGCAATTGAGTCATTATTCCTACCCAAACTCATCCTACCCTTATTAGAGGCAAATAAACTATTTAAAATTGAGTCAGTCACTCCACTGAAGAAGCTTTCAAAACCCGCACTAGTATTGTTCCATTGTTATTTGTTAATTCTTTCCTCAAAGCTCCAAGTACGACAAGACACATTACCAACCGATTTGCTGCTAAATATTTTATCTATAAAGAATAGATCCTCGTGTGAACAAGTTGAAATGATATCATGGGGCTTCATTTAGCAATGGAAAATTATATTTGTACAGCTTTGAGAAAGTAAATGTCGAGGGTGTGTATTAGAACGTTTGTTTATTCTTGTTTTATTATCTAAAAAGTAAGTTAAGTAAAAATGATGAAATAAAAACAGTATATAAATAACAAAGATAAAATATCAAAATTCACAGGTAAATGTGAAAATTTGAAATTTAAAAATAAAATATGGTTTCGAGGAACTTTTGTATAACATATATACTAGCAACAGAGCATCATCCAGCACGCTTTAAAGTTTGATGTTTTCAAGTCCCCATCAGAATTTCTACTCATTGAGATGAAAAACAGTGAGTTCAGGTAATAACATATATACTAGCAACAAGTCCTGGTCAGTACTTCGTGTGAAACTTACAACCATTTTGATGCTCCTTATGAACAACCTGTTGCATTTTTATTTTTAATTTATTTCTATTCAGCAAACGTAGTTCATCAGGTTAATTTTATCCTTCTATCAGTAAATATGGTCAAGAAGAGCATTGGCCATAATAAATAGCCAGGGGTTTGATATTCTCCACTGAGATGTTGAAATAATTTAATAACCCAAGCATGAAATGGAGTGGAAATATGTTTTAATAATTAGGACACATGATCTATATCAACTGCTGTTTTCAACATGAGAGCAGTAATACGATTTTCTGACTTCAGGACTTTGAAAATACAAATAAAAACATCACTTTAGACTAGCCCTCTAGAATTTTGATCTTTTTCATTTGCCTTTGATCTTGTAAATGGACTAATGCATGGTACGGTGAGACAGACAAGCCAAGTTGCATCACTATTTATTAAGTCCTTCGTATCAATTAGTATTGAACAATAGGAAGCCAATAATGGGTAAGATGCTTTGTTTGGGAGACTGGGGAAATGAAATTCTGCAATATAAAGAGATATGCACAAAAATATAATCATCTCTATAAATGATGAATTTTCTTTTCTCCCACCAGTCCCATGCATAACCAGAAGGGCTATTTGCTAAAGAAGGTTATTACTCGTGCTATCTGGTGAGCAGGGGAGGAGAGAGAGGAATCAAAATCATGGGACAATCAATACTAGAGGATATGTAATTACAAGTACATGTAATAAAAAGGTGGAAAATGTTTTACAAGTTACAACTGTAATGAAAGATTGAAGTTACATATGCAGCCTACAGCATACGTTGCTATGAAACAAATACCTTAGGATCTTCTTGTTCAATGAAGATAAATGTATATGCCTATGAGGAAAATTTCACATATGGTGGTTTCCACAGCCACAGAACCACAACAACACAGAAACCCTATAGCAGGATCTTCACTCATCCACTCTGATTCTGCTGCCAACATGACTTTTAAATGAAGACATAAATAAAAAACACTAGTTTCTTACAACTTTAAATGAGGAAATTATCCTCAACTAGGAGATCTGCAACTCAATGAAACTGCAAGGAAAGATGCATCTTTCATTCAGAAACCATTATGAATCAGATCACAATGATTGCTGACGGTCAGTTTCCATAAAAGTATCTGCCTAATGCCGAAGTACACAATAGTCTCTTTTCATTATTTACATTTTTTTAGATAGTAAATCTTGCATTTACAACAGCTAAAGAAAGAAAAATCCAAAAGTCCGTACAGTTCAGAAAATCAATCAAGAAACCTTGGTTAGTGAGATAAGCAATGGTTACCCTGATAAAAATTCACCGAAGAAAATAATGTGCTTGCCCTAAATGATTATATACTATAACTTCTAAGTCCATTCAGAATCAAATTTCAGGCACACAGTAGTTAATGGTTCAAAGGTGTAGTACAGATCCAAGACACACAAAGAAGCTTGCATTTCATAAGTGCATTACAGACAAGACTCACTATTTCTTAATAGGAACATCCTCCAGAAGCAATTGTTTTACCGTTATTCACAAAACAAAGTCACGAAGAGTAATCTGAGACCCAAGGATGAATTTTAGCCACATTCTCCATTGAATTGCTATCAGTTTTGTACTATACATGGACATGCACAAAATTTGACCCAAATATTCGGAAGATAAAAATAAACAAACATATACTGAAAAAAATTCAAGTTTGTTTCTCATTCATGACAAGCAAAACCTCCCCACCATGAGCAATGGTGAAATCCAAGAACTCCCGTACTTTGTCTGAACCTTGGAAAGGTTGAGGTGCAGCAAGGTCACTGTCCAAGTTATACCAAACCCCATCAACCTTCCTCAATGTAATCCAGTGTCTACCTCTCCAAATCCCCGCAAACCTTGTCACTGGGACATTGATCACAATCCCCATGAACACATCTTCATGTGCGTCAAGATCAATGGAGGAAGCTCCATTTCGACGATCATGCCAAACTACACTCTTTCCTTTCTCTTCCAAAGCCGCAATTAGAACATTTATATCATAGTTTCCAGTCAAGAAATTATGATGGGGCTTGAAAAGGATAGATAGAGGAGTCCAGGTTTCACTGTTGGAGTCATCAAGTGCAAGCTTTTCAGAAATTGAATTCAAGCTTGCTCGAGTAAAAGCATCCTTTTGCTGATTGAAGAGAAAACAAATAAACCCAAAAGTAGAAAGAAACATAAATCAATCAAATTATGAAAAAAGAAATGAAATTGAAAATTAAAACCATCAAATCTATGGGGTTCAAGTGATGGGTATCCATTGGATGGTGTTGAAATTGAAGAATCAATGATTGAGTTGTAGTCAGAGGGAGAGAAAGTGAAAAGGGTGTGGAAGGGGTTGAGGGAAGAAGTACCTGAAAGAGGGAGTTGAGAGAGTGCAAGAGACAGAACTGTAACCTTTGCCTTTCGTGATAGACATGAGAATTCTGGGTTGACATCCTAGGTTGTTTCGTACAAACAGCATGAAATTTCGATGTCCAAGTTATGGGGTTGTTTGAAATTTGATGCACATGCACAAGAGAGAAGCTTGTTTAATTATCCATTCTATACTATGATGATTATTCTTTAGATTTTCAATGAATTTTGGGGGAGAACTTATTGGGCCTTGATTTTTCCAGGGTTTGTGTTTGGTTTTAGACCAAACTGTGTGAAATTTCTGTCAAATTTTCTGATTTTTCAATCTTAACTAAAAATAAAAAATAGCAAAATGTTGAAAACGCTAGTTTTTATAACGAGGAAGGATATTGTGACAACCAAGTTGTGTTACTACCAAGTGACTACCAATCAATCTTACCGTTTGATCGATTATATTTATTTCCATCTTTGTATGGTCATGATTTTCCAAATTTAATTATTTATATTTATTTTCACCTTTGTATGATTATGATTTTTCATATTTAATGCTTTCACTTTAAATATGGGGAATCATGACCATACAAAGATGAAAATAAATATAACCGTTGGATCAACATAATCGATCTAACGGTGAGATTGATTGGTAGTCACTTGGTAGTAACACAACTTGGTTGTCACAATATCTTTCCCCTTATATAATAGGAAAAAACACACTTTATTATAAGGGTTCGCTTTTTCCGCAGTTACTGCAGATAAATTATCTGCAGTAAGCCAATACGACGTCGTTTTAGGACAGAAATCATGGTGTTTTTATAATTTTAATTTATTTCAGAGTTATAATAGTCTTTATATTTATAATTTTTTAAGATTTCAATCCCAAAACGACGTCGTTTTGGGAATAAATGAAGATAACTTATCTGCATTAACTGCAGAAACATTTTTCCCTTATTATAATATCTACTATTATAAATTGAATTTGATCTTTGTCATTTTAAATGACACAAGTTATGTCATTGTAGGAAAGAGATATCCACAAGGAATACAAACTATGGAAAAGAAAGTGGTTGGTTTTTTTTTTAAAATTTAAATTTTAAATAAAAAAATTATTATGTATCTATCTCTCTCTTAAAATAACATAACTTTGTGTCATTTAAAATGATAAATACTTTTTATATATAAATTTGTATACTCCATAAAGAGGGTAATGTTATGAAACTTACCATCCCGCATTTCATTAACTTATATTTTTGAAACAATGACCGCATTTGACTAGAAATATAATTCCTTTAAAAAAATTTCAGCAATAATATTTGGTAGAAAAATTATAGCAAAAACCTAATAATCAATCATGATTAAAGAAAAATAAGTAAGAATTAAAAAGTAAAAAATAAAAAAATTCTTTTACTTTTATCTTTTGTGACTATTCTAGTGTGATAAGTTTTCTATAAGACTATAACTATTTTAAATATAATTAATAAGTGATAAGTATGTATTTTACAATTAATCAAGACACCATAATCAAAGAAAGGATGGGTAACTAATTGTTCCATTTATTTAAAATGTTTATTATTTTTTTGAACAATTTTTTTATTTATTGGTTACTTTAAAATATAAAAAATATTATAAATACCGAGCCTATTAAAAAGGTGTACATGCAGAAGTTACATAAGTAGCAAGTAAGCATGACTACCTAGCAAACGAAGATCTAACACCCTAAGTGCAATGCTTCTCCATGGAGAGGGTGAGAAATATAGCAGAGCAGAGCAGCATGAGATAATTTGAAAGGGAGGAGTAATTTCAGTAATAATACCCTATTAGCATTGTGGTGTACTATTTTTGTGTGGTGTATCTGCAAAAATATTAGAAACAGCTCCTTATATAGCATAGTGTTATATTATTGAATTTGCAAACCTGTAAATTTTTCCATGAAAATTGCAAATATTTTCATTTCAAATAAATTCTTCTCAATTCTATAATTGAAGTGCCCCAAACGGGGGTTAAAGTTTTAAAATGTGATCACCAAAGCTCAGCGTATCGGGTACAGCTGTGCAGAGTTATAAATGTAAACATTGTGCAGGTACAATGCATGGGAAAAGTTCTATTGACAACTTTTTATTTTTTATTTTTTATTTTTTTATAAACTTACAAACTACACTATATTCTATGGGTAATACATTATGTGTTGACATATACTACTCATAATACATAATATAATTTGTAAGAATTTATAAACTTTTTATTTGTCAATATAATCATTCCCACAATGCATTATGAAAAACTTGACTGCTGATTCCCACTTATGAACGTTAACACAACTTGCATGATTTGACAAAGAAGTTTTGGATTCGATTCCATATAAGCATTCACTATTAAGCCATTTATAAAATATAATAATAAATTACTATAACACTCGAGACATGTCCTAACTTTTAAATAAAAAAAACCCAGCCACACCCCCCCTCTTTGCAAGACAATGTAAAACCCAACAAAAAATAAAAACAAACAAAATAACTCGCATCACTACAGCTATAGTAAGGACTTCGGACATAATTTAGCTTTTAATGTTTATAGCATAATTAGGAACATGTGCCAGAGTAATAACTGTGTCAAATGTTTCAGAGAGCTAAGCTCTTTGTAATGCAACATTTTTTTCGTTTGTTTTTCAACTCCTCTGGATAATAACAAGAAAAATCAAATAAAAGGTTTTCAGAATTTTTCTTAACACTACCATGGCCAAACAGCTGCACACCAACGTTTCTCCTCTCGCAGCTTTGATTGTTCGAGCTTCTGAGCAGCAGAAGGATACGAGATAATGACTTACTATGACATGAACATGATACCGTAACTTCCCAAAGACACTCAGCCACATAGGATAATGTTCCACCAGAAGCACATTGCATGTTAGCATGATATTGCTCTCTCTCTCTCTGGTAAAAAAGATACAAAAATATTGCATTCATACCAGATATTTTAATTCTCCCTTCAAAATACAACACAATCCTGCTATATGAATAAAAATACAACACAATCATTCACACCTGGACAAAGGACTGGAAATAGTCTACTCTAGTCACTGCTTACTTTACTGGAATTCTGAAAGAAGACAGTGATGAGATTGATGATGCAGACTCAACAAAATAAGGGGTCAATTTAGGGGGAGTTCTAAGTTATCTCTCTTCCACCATTGTAGCTCCCATGTGGTATGGTTATTCTTCCCGAAATTTTACTCAGTTGACACCGAATCTGAAAGTTGTCCCATACAGCTGCAGTTAATTGATGGGCCTGTTTTGATGGGGAGAAATTGGAAAGAGACTTTGTAACTAACCATGTTACTTGCAATTTCGATAAAATATTTTGGTGTAACATATAGCAGAGCTCTTTATATTTCACAGAATCATAATGTATACAACTACATATCAATTACATTTGCAGACAGCCACATCATGACTGAAATAATAGTAAATATACAACAAATTCAAACACCAGCACGTATGTAGTTGAGATGGCAGCAGTTATGATTCATGGAGCCCTTCAAGAGAGGCACTATGTATGTATTTCTTCATCTTTCTTTTTCCATGTGGCTTTGGTTGAGTGAACTGTGAGTTAACACAAATAACAGGCTGGCTATGTGTTAAAAATGATGCCAAAATTCCCCTTACAGGAATGTACAATGTTGTAAGGGTGAGCTCATGCTACTTGAGATATAACTTCCCTGGCTTCAGCCGAACAACGTCAAAAATCATACCTCAAGTTCCACTTCACATTGGTACATTAATAGATAACACTATTAACTGTTGAAGAACCTGTCTGCAATGGGAGAAGAGACTGTTGCTTGCCCTCCATAAATATTGCAAGCTCTGTTGGTGCAACCACCAATCTTAACCACTTCTGTAGCTCCTCACCCTCTACTTTCTCTTTTTCTGAAGAATAAGCACTATCTATTAGTACACTATGGCTTGCCAAACAGATTGGTTCAAAATCATCATATCCATTCACAGTTGACAGAAGCATACGAAGTTGAAATCCGAAGTTCATTAAAGTCCCTTCACATTATCATTATATTATATTGAACTATTTGCTCAAGGTAAAGTAAAGTTCAAAATCTTTCTTCGATCTAATTCATCCAAGCAATTTCAATTGGTGGCGTGAACAGTATATAAGTAACGAAAAGAAACAAGGCATGCAGGAATGCACCTAGAAAATTATTGTCTTTTCAAATTAACCATATGATTTTAACAAGTTCCAACTAGCAGATTTTAATTTAATGTGAGTGTTTAAGATGAAAGATTAGCTTGCTTATAAAAACAAATCCTCTTTGCAAAAGTAAAGATAAGGGGGAAAAAAAGCACCAAAAGAAATGCAATCCAAGACTCCAAGTACATAAAACCAAACACACAGAAAATCTTAACACCCTACTATTTAAAATATCAAACCAAGAAAATCATAAAAATGGCAATACGCAACAAATCTGAAGCATGCACAACCATGCTAGTCATGTCAAAGAAAAATGTATAATGATTAATGACCGTAAATATACACATGCTAGATTTATATAAAGTTTTCTAGTATTCGATAACCAAAGAAAAAAATTAGTTCCTCATGGATTTTAATATTTAAACATATTCTTCTCCCCCTTCCAAAAAAAAATATATTCATAGAATAAGACCCGGAATGATTTACTCTTAACATACGCAGTAGAAGACCTTTTTATTTCATAGTTAAGCCTTAACCCTAGACATATATATTAGTCATTTAATTAAGTTAAAAAATATTGCAAGTATTTATCATTAATTTTTTGGCAATCAACACAAACCATGCCACCAATCACCAAATATAAAGTACAGCAACAAGAGCAGTTACCTTCCAAATGTGCTCCAAGACCCTCCAAAACAGTAGGATTAGCTCGCACAATGGAAAGTGATACATCCAGTGCAGACTGCAGCAATGCTTTCACCTCTCTTTGAACAAGATCAACAAGGTGTCCCTGTTGTGTTCAGATTAAAATCAGCATACACATACAGAAGAAATTGAACAGGAAGAGAAAAAAAGAAGTTAATAAAATACAGGACCTGATCCCTTCCCCAAGGAAATGATCCTCCAGACTCATCGATTCCACCATTAGAAAGAGTGGAAATTGACACAGGGCCAATCGTCTGATTAAGACCATATTCAGCAATAGCTTTGTATGCCATGTCAGTTGCTCGCCGTATGTCATCAAGTGCACCTGTTGACACTCGACCAGAATAAACAACTTCTTCTGCTGCACGTCCTCCAAGAAGGGTCACCAGTCGGCCACGCAACTCATCAATGAAAAGCAAATATCTGTCCTCACTTGTTGGAGGAGTATAAGTAAAACCCAAAGCCCCTCCTGATCTAGGCAATATGCTTAGCTTCTGATAACATACACAAGATAGTAAGGCACTGAATTATCCTAGAATGATTTTCTTAGTAGTTAATACACAAATGAGCAACATAACAATGAATTCCAACATATAACTTATCTAAGCAAAATCTACAAGTAGGCTGCAATTTACAATGAGAAATTTTTACAACTATTTATTTACTAATAAAATGAGGGTCAGCGTCAGCCTATCGCCATTTCTATTCATCTATTGCCACTCCTTTTTCAACTAACTTTTATTTAAATTTACAAAATACCCTTCATTAAATAATGACTAAACCCTTAAATTGATCCTCAAAGTTTAGCATGGTACCACATTAGTCCTTCAAAAAATTGTCACTAAATTAGTCTATCAAAGATACAAAACAGTTATCAAATTTGTCCTTTTTTGGTCACCAGTTTAATCCTCCATAGGGACAAGTGTGGTAACATTCTAGATCTTTGAGGACTAATTTGGTAACAAAAACCTTTCAAAGCATCGTAACTAAGTATTTCTTATTCAGTTATTCATAGTTAAAATAGTTGTCTGGCCACTTTTTTATCAATTTATGTACTTTTGATTAGTAATAAGAATGGGTTTTAATAGTTTGCTTGTCTAGATCACTAAAAATCCAATTACCTAACCATTATGATCTTCCAATAGACACAACCAAAAAATGCTAATCTATAAAGAAAATGAAGCACAACCTTTGATTTACATCGTTTGTAGTTGCTGAATATCACACATAATACATATATATTTTGCTCCAATTTCCCACTATAAAATAAGAGAAATGAATGAAAATGAAGACCGATACCCTTCATTCAACACCCTAAAATAAAAAGAAAACTGAAATGAAAATTTTTTGTCACAAGTCATTGAACTAACAATCTTATAATCAGAGCCTATATGAACTAGAAATCATCACTCATCAGAGTAATTTTGAGCATAAACATAGTTTAAGCCGGGTGATAATTCCAAAAAATAAAGTAGGCAAGCACGTGGTACAAGCACAATCTTCATCTGTAATGACAACGGCATATTTGAATAGGCAAGTAGAGATCATCTTCCATGATTTACCTCAACACGTGGCTGTCCAGGAAGAAGATTTGCAACTGCAGTACCCACTACAGCATGACCAGCTTCGTGTCGTGCAACTACAGCCTTCTCAATTCCTTGCAACTTGGCAGTCTTCTTTTCTATGCCCTGAAACAAGTAATTTGGTTCATTTTATCCACAATTGATAAACTACGGCAACATTTACAGAAGTGAAATTTTAAATTTAACATTTTGTGATTTGACAGATAGAAAAAATCTGACTAAATTGAAAATTTAAAGCATGCATCCTCCATGTGAGATTGTGACTTACAGCTATTGATCTTTCCACAGCTTGGATGAAATCAATTTTCTCCACAACAACTTTGTTCTGTCTTCCAGCCAACAAAGCAGCCTCATTTACTAGGTTTGCAAGATCGGCTCTTCAATGATATGTACCATGTGTCAGATCAAAACTCCAATCTTCTCAATGTATTTAAAGGGAAAAATAAGTAAAGAGGAAACAGCAAAATTACCCTGTGAAACCAGTGGTCATTGAAGCAATGTCACCAAGGACAACGTCCTTGGCTAAAGGAAGTTCTTTCTTCGAAACATGAACTTTTAGGATGGATTCTCTTCCAATCCTATCTGGTGTTTCTACCTAAGGGAAAAAATAGGCATTTTCGCTAAAAATATGCAAAATCAATATTTTTTTAAATCAGTATCGAAAACAAATGAGGTAATACATTAAAACTAGAATCCAGACCATGACTACTCTATCAAATCTTCCAGGTCGACGGAGTGCAGGGTCTAGAACATCAGAGCGATTAGTTGCTCCAAGAACAATCACTGCAGAACTGCTATCAAACCCATCCATTTCCTGCAATGCAATTTTAACACATTAGCCTCATTGTGACATAGTTTTTCTTCCACCCCCCCCAAAAAAATAAAAAATAAAAAATAAAAAAATCACTAGAAATGAATAACAACAAAGGAATACTAACAGTGAGCAACTGGTTCAAAGTTTGTTCTCGTTCATCGTTGCTGACAATACGAAATTTACCATCACGACTTTTAGCCACAGCATCTATCTGCATATCAAAAGAAAATTTGATTGGTTGAAAATTAAATAGTAGATATTGAATCAAACATACTACATAACTGTAAAGAACCAATTCAACCCAAAAGCTTAAGCTATTGGGTGAGGCTACATTAATGGTTTTATATATCTCAACACGCCCCCTCACACGAGAGCCCATTGGGCTTGAAGGGTGGAAAATGCACAGGTCCACCTACCTGTGCGAACAAAGAAATTCCACTTGAAAGAAAGTGGGGGGCGGCGAGGATCGAACCCGGGACACCAGACTCTGATACCATGTAAAGAACCAATTCAACCCAAAAGCTTAAGCTATTGGGTGAGGCTACATTAATGGTTTTATATATCTCAACAATAACAAAAGAATATATATTCTTACCTCATCGATAAATATTATGGATGGCGCTTCTTTCTTTGCCCTTGCAAAGAGATCTCTCACACGAGAAGCACCCATACCAACATACAACTCTACAAACTCACTAGCAGAACAACTTATAAATGGCACATCAGCTTCCCCAGCCACAGCCTTCGCTAGTAAAGTCTTACCTGTCCCAGGAAGACCCACCTGTAAGATAAACCATTGGATATTTACTACCTACATGTAAAACTAAAACAATAATGATATGATGTGAAAAACAGAATTTAGCTCATCCACATATGAAAGTACAAGCTCAAACATGCAGGAGAGGAAGTGAAAGTGTGAAAGCTAATAATTATGTAAATATGAGAAAGCACAGTTTACATAATACAGTAGACAACTTTGCTGAATTTTAGCCCAAAATATTCCAAAGAGACATTTCCCTTATTTGATACCTTCCCAAGGCAAATATCCTCAACTACAAAGTGCTTGCTGGCAGACCATAATGTGCTTTTAGCATAGGATCATGAAGTCATTATATATCACTTATCAAATATATCTGGTAGGACTCACCAAGAGAACACCTCGAGGAGGACGAGCTCCAAGTCGTATATATCTGTCTGGATTTCGAAGAAATTCCTGACAAGTGAACATCAGCATAATCAAAATTACTTCCCCTATATCACCAAAAGAACTCAAAATGAAAATCGGTTAATTGTAGAACAGAAAGCCTCTTATACACCCTACACATGGTAATATCTGGAAATAAGCTGAAGAAAGTCCAGCCTACCACAATCTCTTCTAGCTCCTCCTTAGCCTCGTCAACACCAGCAACATCAGCAAAAGTGATTGTTTCACCTTGTTCAGATGACTTTGTACCAGCAGCAGTTCCTGACTTGCGGTTCCTAATCTGACCAGCTGTATGCTGCACACAGTATATGATTACTCACAAAACATGTTGTTCTAAAGGTGTAGGAAACATAAGTTGGATAAGAAGGCCTACTACGAAAATGAGGGAAAGAAATCAAACTGACCTGTGAAAAGCTTACAGGGAATCGATGGAGAAGCCCTGCAAGCACAGCAACATAAAACAAGGCTATCTGCAAATATGAGAATGAAGTCAGCATGCCACACGATATATAGTGTCAACCCCAACAACCAAGGAAATTTAAAATGAAACAAAATAAGAAGTTGAATATCTTAAACCACTGATACATCATAGCAGATATAAAAAACAGGATATAAGTAAAAGAGACAGTATCCCAATAATAAACTACACCATGGCATATTTAACAACTGTGAAAGGTTTTTTGTTGCTTTAAGCAGACTTACCTAGTGAAGCCAATATAAATATTACTTCTACTAATCACTCAAAGTATTCAATTATTCCAGAAAATTAATATTTCAAATTCTCATGGCACAAAATCTACCGTCTAACTATAAATAAATCATGTAAATTATAATTTGTCCAGCTTGATAATTTATATTAACTACACTAGTCATAGATACGTTACTCAGAATTGCAAATTCCACAATTACCGTTCTAATAAAGACAAAAAAGAAAACGAAGAGTTTACCATCATTATTACGTAAGGAGCAATACCAAGTTGGCATAACTAAAATCATATAGAGCGTGTAAAGAAAACAGATGGAGGAAATAGGATTTCAAAGAGCGGTTATGAGTTTCCACAAATTATTCTTCTTAGAGAACGTAATGTTTGGTAAGAATGGAGTAGTAGATCCAAGTTTCTAATGGTCATTCCAAATATAGGGAAGACTTAAGGAGCTAGCCATAGCCGTTGAGCATTCACACATTTTTCAGTGACTTAATAGAAAGATCGTAACTTGAGAAAGAGCCATAACTCATAATCCTCTTTCGGGTCTCAAAAGTTTTGCTCTAAATAACTGAATATATTGGAATGTGTATATTAAACTTCAAACCACTGCCACCTTCAGTTGAGGTATAATTCATCACTGGACTTTCCAGCACCATAATAATGCAGGTGGTCAACTTCACATAACATAACCTCAAACAATCACACAAGACGCAATTTTCTTACCAGTGCAGAGTTGAAGAATCCACCAGAACGCTTATCCGGGGACCCAAACTCGACCTCATTTTCGAGCATCTTTTCATAAGGAGTTCTAATATCACTAGGCCTTGTGGTGGTGTAAACTATCCTCTTGGTTGGAGCAACACTCTTAACCAACAACTCTGACTCCTGCTGCATCCTTAAAGAAGAAGAAGAAGAAGAAGAAGAAGAAGAAACTTCACCATCCTGCACTTGATCAGGCTTCAACTTGAACATGATGTGGACCCCATCAACCTCCACCTTCTGCACCTGATCACTATTGACCTTGCTCAAGAACTCACTGTACGGCACGCTAACAAAAGAGGTTGAAGCCCTTGGTTCGGACCCAGGTAAGGGAATCCCAGGCCTAAGCAACCTCATAACAAAAATCACAATCCCTAACTGCAAAAGCAAAACCCCAATCTCTTGTGCCTGCACTATGGGCTGCCACCGCCACTTCTTCCCACCTTTAGAACCAAACCACCACCACAACCAACCACCCTTCCCCTGCTTCTCCTTCCTCCGGTTCGAACCGGACGAACCGGTCGAACCATTATCGACCCCTTGACCTTCACCGCTCTTCTCGCCGGAATCGCTCTCCTGGCCGCTACTACTACTACTAGCCCTGATTCTCCGTCCATCACCGCCGTAGAACCTCTTCAACCCTCCCCACAAATCCAACCTCCCCGAATCCCTCCATAACCTCGCGTCCCTCAGAACCCTAACCGGCACCGAATTGGGAACAACGAAACGACTTGCGTTTTGCCGAAACACCCTCGAGCGGTGTAGATTGGAGGAGTACCAATTAAGATAGATTTTGGTGTGCGTCAACGGAGATAGATACTCCAACCCCGACATTGCGAGAGTAACAACCACAACAAAAAGCTTCAAAATTTCCGATATCTTATATATAGGGTGGAGCCTCAGAGATTATCTTCTCATCTAAAGTGTGTCAATGGTGGCTAGAGATTGAAGAGAGAGAGAGAGAAAGAGACAAGGAGATTCAACAGGAAATTATAGCCGTTGGATTAAGGAGGAGTTGAAGATCTCAACCGTTGACATGGAAGTTATTTTATCCTAATTTGTGCTTCTTATTATGTTGATTTGATTGTTTCACTTGTTGTTGTTAGTTTAGTTCGTGGTACAGGTTGAGTGCAGTGGAGCGATCTGGTGCCGAGATACGTATGTGAGTATGCTTTGCCAAGTTGAGATACTGACACGTGTAGGGTAATAATAGGAGGAGACGGGGCCCAAAGATGGATTACGTGGCGTTGTCGCGTGCAAATCAGCAACACATGTTTGGCGAACTTATGAGGCCAGACACTTGATTTTTGAAATTTGAACTGATTATAAATTTATAATCACCATAAATAAAAATTGGTGAAAATAGTTTTTTTTTTTTTCCCTTTTGAGAGATGGATGTCCTTTAAAAGGATATAACTTGTATTCTTTTAGTGACTTACCTAAAATTTAATTAGTAAGATTTTGTGTAAATCTGAAAAGTTTTTTTTTTTCATTTTATACGTCAACGATGTGACTGGGGAGAGAAAAAAAGGTAATTTTTTAGATTTACACAAAATTTTATCGATTAGAATATATGTAAATCACCAAAAAAGAAAATAAATTTTTTTTGTAAATTAAAGAGGGGCAAGGCCCCGGAAACAAGACAAAGAGACAGACTTGGAGACACCCCTTAGGTGACGTTTGGTAGAGGAGAAAATTTTTTTACTAGGAAAATACAATTACTAGGGAAATGGTAGGAAAGTAAGTTTGATAGAAAAATTTAAAAAAAGTTATTTGATTGATCGAAATTATTATTAGAAAAATTTATTTAAATTTGCAAAGTCTATGTTTTGGTTGAATGTAAAATAATGATGGGAAAATAGGTGAAATTGAAGAAAATACCCCCATTATAAATTTTTTGTGGAAGCGAAGTCACTCACTACGAAGGTCAATTTGATCCATAACTTTTCCCCTATTTTTCCACTTTCATATCTATCCCAAAATACCATATCTCAAATGATTTTTTGGAATAGTAAAAATCAACACAAAAAGAGTTTCCTATGCTTCCTAATCTCCTAGTTTTTTTTTTTTTTTTTTTTTTTGCAAACTTGTACCAAACATGATATTTCTCAATGCCCACTTTTACTTCTCTATCAAACTCAAAATAAAACCTATATCAAACACATCCATAAGAAAAAGAGGAGGCCTAGAAAAATTAATAAAATTCCTATATTCACCATATGTGAAAGACACAATTTGTATCTTTTAAAAAGAGACTTCTTTTTCTCTTAACACAATATCATAGTATTTAAAAAAGCAACAATTGGGATTGGAGGCAGTGGGCGGAGCCACATGCATGGTAGGTATAGCCTCAGCTCGGGCTAAATTTTTAAAAATTATATTTATTATATATAATTATATGATTATATATAATTTGGCTCGGGTTAAAACTATAATTTGACCCGGGCTACAATTTATAATTTGGCCCTATCTAAAGCTTAAAATATTTTTGGTAAGAGATTTGGGTAAGTTGTATTTGGTTATGTGTTCAATTTTCACTTGTATAAAAAAAATATCTTTAGTAAAATTAAAAAATATTTAATAAAATTATAATTTTTCTTGGTATTGCCTGCTCAGGTGCTTTGTATTTAATATAATTTAAATGGAGAGGGTTATATTTATAAAAATTTTGTTTACAAACTATATTATGTACTCCCGAAAGTACACTAGGTTACATATTTATCCAAAAAAAAAAATACACTAGGTTACATTATGTATTTCCGAGAGTATATAGTGTAATTTGAAAAAATTTGTAAAAAAATTTGTAAACAGATCATTCCCAATTTTAAATATATTATGATATGAACTAACTAAAATTAAAAAATATAAATACATATATAATTTTTTGGCCCGAACTCAAATTTTAGCTCGGCACCGCCACAGGTCATTGGAGGTCGTAAATACTTCTAACACTAACACGAATGGGTTGGTATTTAATTTTACTTTTCAAATAAAAATTACGTAAATAATTTTAAATTAATAAAAAAATAACGTAAGTGCAATAAATATATAATTATTAATTTTAAAAAGTTAATTATAAATCGACACAGAAATAATATAAATACGGATATTACTATTATAAATACGATGCAAATTTTTCCTATTAATTTTTTGTCTACGCGAATAAGATTCCAAAAAATTGACATAAACACTAAAATTTCAGCATATCAGATTAAAAAGTATCACTTGTCAACGGAAAAGTTACCGATAATTCATATTTAACATGCATACACGAGCTTTCTATAATCTATGTACCACTTAATTATATGATTATTAGGCACTACGTCTAATTTGTTTGTTTTTTAAGGCATTCTTTTTCATTAAAAAAAAAACTTAAATAATTGTTTCATGTTTGCTTTGCACAAATTTGTGTTCAAGCATATGCTAATTATATTTATCATTTTTTTTCACAAAATATATATATATATATGTCGCTATTTGAAGAGTGTACATCGAGCACTAGAGCCTACTGTAGATTACTCTGAGTTGAAGACAACTACAGTATGCAGTAATGCGACTTTGACTTGTAAAACTGTTTTGTACTTTTTGTACATTTTGTCCCTTGTTTTCGGTTTATCAAATTGGAAGATAATCGCATGATAAAATTCCTAAATTTGAGGGTCCTATGAAATTGTCAGCCAAACAAAAATGTTTCCTTAAAAAAGAACAACTAAATTGTTAATAGTTTAACGGCTAACCATTTGTTTGGGGGAATGTCAAAGAATTTTTAACTGCTGACCATAATTTTGGAGCTAGTTGACCTATTTTCTCTCTATTATTCCTTCTTTAGTTTTTCAATTTTCTTGATGATTTCTCTGGGACTCAGTGAAAAGAACACATTAATGCTGCATTTTCGTTTTCCAACATGATCTTCTAGTTTGTTCTTCAGCTAGAACACCACTTACGTTCGTTTACATTATCCACTTTTAATAGCTTCCTATACAAACCCAATCCGTAGCCAGTGTTTTTTAATGGCAGAAAACCACATTTTCTTTAAATGTTTTGTCAATGAGGGTTTATAACAAACATGTCAATCCCGTTTGATTATTACTATGATGATTATATTTACTAGTTTGAATCTGGTAACGGTTAAAATGTCCCCCATTTGAGTTTTCCATTGTTTGCTTGTGACAAATACATGCAACCACAACCTTTATAGTTTGTTCTTTGTAGACCTACATTTAGAGAAACAAAGATGGATTTGAATGCAAGGGACATTCAACTTCGTTTGTTCAGAATGCTTCAGGTTTCAGTTGAGATTAGCTACGCTTTCATGAAAAAGTATCCATTGGTTTCGGGTGCTTTGTTAATCTTCTTCATCCTGTATATATTTCTTTCCTTTATTTACAACTTGTTGGTTTTCTTGTCCCCATTTTTTGTGTGCACTGCCATTTTTGTTAGAATCTTTTGGAGTTCTGAGCAAACCCAGGTTAGATATGTCAAAAAGGAGGAGAAAAAGGTAGAGGAGAAAAGGGTTGAACCAAAATATCCAAAGATTCCCATGTATGAAAGAAATGAAAGACGTGGAATGCTTTATAAGTTTCCATCACAGAATGCAACAAGTAGAAGACGAAATTTCTCTGGGAGGAAATTGGATGTTTATGGTGGTTTAGAAGAAAAAGCAAAGGATTTGTCAGCAGTGTTTCATAATGAATTCATTAAAAGGGACACAGATATTAGAGGAACTAAATTTACTGAGAAGAAGATGGATAACAGGTTCTCTGCAAAAGCATTTGAGGTTCCTAAAAAGCAAGCATTATATTCTGAACCTTCAATGCTGGACCTGGTGACTTATGGTGCTAGTTGTGCTGGTCCAGGGAAAAAGACAGAAAACATGGAGGATGGGAAAAAAGCACAAGAGGATTGTAATAAGGTTGTAGAATTGGCAGAGGATGATCAGAAAAAACTCATGGATCTTGGGGTTTGTGAGATGGAGACAAACAAAAGGTTGGAGAGTCTTATAGCCAGAAGAAGAGCAAGAAAACAATTGAATTTGCAGATTGAGAATGGTCTAATTGATAATAAATCAGTTACCCCAAGTCAAATTGCACCACTGCTTATTTCAAGAGCCAACCCTTTTGATAGTGAAAGGTTTGATGACATAGAAATGCCTGGTTCTGCCCCATCAGCTTTGAGAAGCCCATTTGATCTTCCCTATGGTCCTTTTGAGGAGAAACCAAATCTCACAGGGGACAGTTTCCATCAAGAATTCACAAGTCACCAGTTATTAGAACCTAGAGCACTCCCGAGAGTTAGAAGGCTTCCAGGTGATAATAACCACTTTCTTCTTTCTCCCCTCTCTTAGCTAATAGCAAAGGAAATAATAGAAGAAATTGTGGTAAAATTTGATAACGAAATTGTATGTTTCTTACTCATGCAGGTAAGGTAAATCAGGACAGGCTTGAACAATTAATATCCCAAGAAGGTGGTGAAAGTGAATCAAAAGCTCCCAATTCACTAAGTGAAGGAGAGGAAACAACACATGAAGAGGATGGGAAATGTGACATAGATATGGTTGGCACGAAAGTTGAGGAAGTGGACAGTGTTGATGCAACAAAGTCCATGTTAGACAATGCAAGTGAACCAGACTTTATTCCAAATGTTGAAAGAGTTTCAGAGAAGCCAGGACCAAGAAGATTTCCTAAGCCTAACGATAGGGTTCTAGATTTTCCAATATCTAGTACTAGTGTTGCTGATATAAATGATTCTTTGTATGAATCTCTTCCATCTCCAGTTGATAAGAACAAGGAAAATATGTTATTTACCAGTAGGAACATTCGTCATACCCCATCACATTCCTTAGCTTCTGACTTACAAGTGGAGGTTTCTGAAATTGGTTCACCAACACTGACAGTTGATGAGAATCATGACACCATTACAACCATGGATGGAGAATTCGAAGTATACGATGGGGACATTGATAAAGAAGTTACTTCTGGCAGTAAAGATATGTGGGGAGCCTCGCTCCATTCAAGAGAAGTACGTGGAGTTAGTAGTGAGCAGGATATTTCAGAAGTAAACATAGATGCAGAAGATGTAGCTGATGTTTGCTCTATGTCCTCAAGATCTGACATGCCTGAAGATAATCCAACTCATGCAATAAGCAGTGATCATAACATCTTTGGTAATATGAAAGATTTAGTGAGAGAAACTGGTTCACTCCAACCTTCCCATTCTTCACAAGTTATCAATGATGTAAATAACTCAATAGCCACTGAGCAAGAGAACACACAGAACTCAAATAGTAGTGAAGACTCTGGTGCATCAGTTGTGCGACAAGAAGCAATTGACGAAGTTTCAAGCAACTCAAGTTCAACATCTTCACCAAGGTCTGTATTGCCAATACCACAGAAGACCATAGCAGACCAAGTTACCTCTTCAGCTTATAATAATCAAGAGGGACACCTAGGTGTTCAGCAATCTTATATGGAGGATATGGCACAAGCAACATTAAATGGTGAAGGTCCACTTGACTCCATGCCTCAAAATATTCAGCCTTCGATGGATGATCCTAATGTTGAATCACATAACGGTGACTTGAGTCATTCTCAGGTGTGAGTTGTGGTAGAAAATTTTTAATTTCTTTTTCATCTATTTTAAGAAATTGTTAATCATTGACATATCATAGCTTCAATATAAGTTGGGGGACACGGTAGTCCTATGCCTAAGGCTTTGCTACATTATCATAAGGCATTGGGTTTACTTCATATCTTAATAATGTTTATATAACACACACACACACACAAATCACAACATCATTTGAACATGCTTGTAACTTGGTTTTCCTTTCCCAATGAACAAAAACAGAAGAGCTTCAAGCCTTAACTTGCTCATTATTTGTAACATTGACTAGGAGCAGACTTATCCTCAGGAGAATTCCATTCAAGAACCAGATATGTCTAGCAAGATGAACAATAATGAAGCCACTGACCGGGACTTGAACAAGAATGAAACCTTGGTTTTATCTGAACCAGAAGGAGAAAGTGATCATGTAAGCAACATAGCACACAAGAATGATCCTGAAGAAAGTACTTCAGCTTGAGGATGTTATAGCACCAAAGCCAGCTAAACCAAATGATAGCTCAAAAGAAGTAGGATGTTTACAAAAAGAATCAACAGAGTTGGTTGGACACGCAAGTAGTGGTGATGGCAATGAGGACTTGCCGCAACACCAAGGGTCAATGAACCAAAGATTTTCAGCAAAGAAACGAAATTGGCCTCGTAGTGGATTCATGGAGTGGTGCACTGTCCACCTTGGCAAGTGTTTAAGGCCTGCTATTCTTTGGTGTTCCACAATTGAAATTTGGTTTGACAAAAGAAAATGAAGTTCCATTGGTTATTTTCCATCATCACATGACAGATTGATTAAGACTAACATAGAGATGCAGAAACACTAATCAATATTCAGTGCATGGATGCTGTCCATGGTCCCCTAGTTGTTCAGAAATTTATTCTATTGGTCACACTGCATGTACACTATCATATTCACAATGTAGAAAGTAAGACCCATAGACAGGTTGTACATATGGGGTATATTTGTATTATGTTGTATAAGAAAAATTAATTTTCAGCACATATAAAAGAGGGTCTTACCTCTATTTTTTCTCTCTCATTTTATCTGCGAGTTCCATTTATAATTTTGTTTCTAGTGTACGAGATAATTCTTTTCTTATAACATAATAAAATTATTTCCTTTATTTATACCCACAATATATCTCAAACTCAAATGACCATATAATTGTTTTGTCTGGTTTTTTTTTTTTTTTTTTTCAACTCTTTATAGATTATAGTGAAAGCTAGAAACGGATACAAGAAACATCAGTAGGACCAAAATTATACAAATATTTTAATAAAAGTTGTTAGTTTAAATATTAAATATACATTTATCAAATATAAATATAATGTTATTTCATATCATAAATATCATTTATGGTCGAATTAGTATCAAAATTTGTCAAAAAAAATAAAAGATGATTTTTTTAGTTTTTACCATGCGATAGGATATTGTGACAACCAAATAATGTTACTACAATATTACTATCACATCTTAACCGTTGATTTTGTTGGGTATGGCTCATACTTCACATGATGATGTTGGCCCTAATTGTCGGGGTCAGCAGAAAGGCAACTGGGGTCCCGCTCCCAGGTGAGCGGGCGGGGGTCCGGGGGGCAGCGCCCCCCGGCCCGTAGAGGCTAAGTAATGTTTAGGCCTCTGTTTCTATTGTAATTTTCTTAGCAGTTTGGGCTTGGGCCCATGAATAGCTGCTGTTAGGGTTTCTTGTAATCCTATTTATATTTGCCTTGTAAACCGAGAGACTTGTAACGAGTGGCGGTGAGGTGAATATAGTACAGACAAGCTGGACGTAGCCTATATTGGGTGAACCAGGGTAAATCATCGTGTCAATCTCTCTACTCTTATCTCTTTTTCTGTTTTCTCGATTCTGTGTGATTGTCGATTTCCAACAATTGGTATCAAGAGCTTTGGTTTTGCGACCAGGGTTCCTGTGACAGATTGGGGTTTCGCGATTTAGGGTTTTTTCTTGGCATAGATAAAACTGCGAAATTGATCTGGAGAGGATGTCGACTGGCCAATCACGGGTCGAGGTTGAAAAGTTCGGAGGAAAAGGGTTTGAGTTATGGAAGCTGAAGACGGAGGCTCTGCTCGTTGACAGGGACGTGTGGTACGTGATCGAAGATGATAAGCCGTCCGTACCAACAAAACCTGTCGGTGAAGAAACGTCAGGTGATGGCGAGTCGAAGGAGTTGAAGGCGTGGACCAGAGACGATCGAAAGGCGCGAAGCCTGATCTGGTTATGCCTGGCTGATAACGTTCTGGTGAACGTAACTTCTGAGAAGACCGCGAAGGATCTCTGGACGAAGCTGGGAAGTCTCTATCAGAGCAAGTCACTCGTGAACAAGCTGTTCCTGCGAAGGAGGCTGTATAATCTGCGGATGAGCGAAGGTGATTCTTTCTCTGCTCATTTAAATGAATTTAATACTATTTGTGCACAACTTTCGTCTATAGACATTAACCTGGACGAGGAAGACAAAGCTTGCACCTTGTTGTATTCACTGCCCAACTCTTGGGAGCACATCATTGTGTCAATTGGTACTAGTGTTAATAAACTGTCGTTTGAGACGGTTGTTGCTGCCTTATTGTCTGAGGAGATGAGAAGGGTAGGTTTTGAAGGTACCAACAATGAGGCTCTGGTTGCTAGAGGGAGGAGTGATGACAAATCAAAGTCTGGTCACAGAGGAAGATCGAGGGGACGATCAAAGTCCCGTGATAAATCTGATAAATCTGAAATGAGGTGCTGGAGGTGCAAAAAGGTTGGACATCTGAGAAGGAATTGCAGAAGTAAAAGTGTAGGTCCTGAGAAGCGGGATGATTCACAACCGTCTGCTTCGGGTACAAATAAGGATGATGATGATAGTACAGGGGACCTGTACATGGCGTTTGACAGTCATAATGACTGTAATGATTGGATTATTGACACTGGAGCATCGTTTCATATGACACCTCATAGGGAGTGGTTCTGCACCTATGAATCGTATTCTGGCGGTACAGTTAGAATGAGAGATGACACGACTCATGCAATTGTGGGGCGTGGGAAGGTAAAGCTGAAGATGAGTGACGGGACAGTCAAGAATCTGCCGGGTGTGATGCATATTCCGGGGCTTACCAGAAATTTGATCTCCGTTGGTAGTATGGCAGATGCTGGTATTAATTTTAGCAGTGACAAATATTCTTGCAAGCTGACTCGAGGAGCTTTGGTTATTGCAAGAGGAGAGCGTCATGGTAAATTGTGGAAACTGCTGGGTAGCACAGTATTCAGTGGTGAAAGCTATGTTTCAGAACAGGCGGAGGAGGACACTGCTATGTTATGGCATAGGAGGCTGGGGCATATTGGAGGAAAAGGTCTGGAGACTCTAACATCAAAGAAGTTGGTGGATGGAATTCCGAGCTGCTCTATGGGGTTTGGATTTTGCGAGCATTGCCTGCAAGGGAAGCAAAATCGGGTATCTTTTGATTCCATAGGAGGAAGAGCTGAGGGGGTTCTGGACTTGATACACAGCGACGTGTTTGGCCCCACACCTGTAGCATCACATGGAAAATCAAGGTATTATGTTTCTTTTACTGATGATTTTTCAAGATATGTGTGGTTATATTTCTTGCGCAGCAAGGATGAAGTGTTCGATAAATTCTGCGAGTTCAAGGCTTTGGTGGAAAATCAATTTGATCAAAAAATCAAGGTGCTGAGAACTGACAATGGAGGGGAGTTTTGTTCAACAAAATTTGACCAGTTTTGTGCGAGCAATGGGATTGTAAGACAGAAGACTACGCCCTACTCACCTCAACAGAATGGGGTGGCAGAGAGGTTGAATCGATCTCTCATGGAGAAAGCACGGAGTATGCTGAGCGGTGCAGGCTTGGCAACTGAGTTTTGGGCAGAGGCAGTGGCTACTGCTTGTTATCTGAAGAACAGATCTCCTACATCAGCTTTGAAGGAGAAGACTTCGTATGAAGCACTGTTTAAAAAAAGGCCAGACGTATCTCATATCAGAGTGTTTGGCTGTGAAGCTTATATGCACGTACCCAAGGAGAAAAGAAACAAGCTTGACAGTAAATCTGAAAAGTGTATCTTTATTGGGTACAAGGATGGCGTCAAAGGTTATAAGTTGTGGAATCCGGATACTAGAAGTGTAACTTACAACAGAGACGTTGTATTCAGAGAATCTAAGTTGAATCAGATTTTTCCTGAAGCTCCTGAAAAGTCACAAACGGTGGAGTTGGATGTGGGTTTGAAAGAGGATACAATAAACTCACAGATTGAATTGGAAAATTTGAATTCTAAAGCTGCTGAATATAATGAGGTAGAGGATGAATTTTCTGAAACTGAGGCTGAGGTTGAAGTACCAGTGCTGAGGAGATCCACGAAGGAAAGAAGACCATCTGAGAGGTATACACCTGAAAATTATATCCTGTGTGCTAGTGATGATGTTTGTGCATTTAGTATTACAGGTGATGATCCGGGCACTGTAAAACATGCGAGGAGCTCGGAGGATGCCAAACAGTGGGAGGAAACTATGAAAGAAGAGATGAAGTCTCTGATGAAAAACCAAACTTGGAGTTTGGTGAATCTACCTGCAGACCGAAAAGCAATTGGTTGCAAGTTGGTGTTCAAGAAGAAGGTTGGTGCCAATGGGGAGATTGAACGCTACAAGGCTCGATTGGTTGCAAAGGGATATTCACAGACAGAAGGGGTTGATTATGGTGAGGTATTTTCACATGTTGCAAAGTTAAATTCCATAAGACTCGTTTTGTCTGTAGCAGCTGCATATGACCTAGAGGTGGAGCAGCTGGATGTGAAGACAACTTTTCTTCATGGTGATTTGGAGGAGGTTATTTTCATGAAGCAACCAGAGGGGTTCATTGCAAGAGGCAAAGAGGAGCTAGTCTGCAAGCTGAATAAATCTCTGTATGGCCTGAAGCAGTCCCCAAGGATGTGGTACATGAAGTTCGACACTTATGTGCTGAAGCTTGGCTTTGACCGTTGTGATGCTGATCACTGTGTTTATGTGAAAAGGTTAGAAGGTGACTTTGTTATTCTAACTTTGTATGTTGACGACATGTTACTCGTTGGAAACAGTTTGAAAATGATCAGCACTGTTAAAGGACTGCTAGCAAAGCAGTTTGAAATGAAAGATCTAGGCGCTGCAAATGTGATCTTGGGTATGCAGATTAAGAGGGAGCGTGACAAACGAAGATTATGGTTAAGTCAGCAGAAGTACATAGAAGATGTTCTGAAGAAATTCAAGATGACTGACTGCAAGCCTGTGTTGACTCCCATGTCTACTGGTTCTAAGTTATCGGCTGACCAGTGTCCCAAGACTGAAGAAGAAAAAGACGAGATGGCGTCAGTTCCTTATGCTAGTGCAGTAGGGAGTCTGATGTATGCCATGATTTGTACTCGACCTGATATTGCTCAAGCAGTGGGAGTATTGAGCAGGTATATGTCCAAGCCAGGAAATGAGCATTGG